AAATTTTTTAAATGTCAAAAATGACTCGATATCTCTAATATTAAGATGCATCATAATGTTCTCCGAATATTCCGTTATTCGACTAATAAATCTTGTTAGGACCAGTTATAGTTGAATAGACAGTAACAAGGATACTTTTCCGTTGTTCGTATAGTAAAAAAAAATTAGCAAAAAATAAAATGGATCGAAGATAAAGAAACACATGCGTGTGTGTGTGTGTGTGTGTGTGTGTGTGTGTGTGTGTGTGTCGGTTGAAAATCTATATTTCTTTCATTTCGCTTGTCAAAAGTTTATAAAAGGGTGTAATATCGATCTATCGGACGAAGAGCTGTATCTCAATATCCGTGTGGTATTCTATCGTGGAATCCGTCCTTCACATCAGATCCGATTTGATAGTATATTCGAAGATTCTCCTCAATATCCACACTTATTGGGCAGTAGTATCGTGCACCAAGGGGCCACTTGCATTTAACGAGGATACATGGTGCACATATTTTTTTATCGACAAGTGGCAAAGGATCGATGAATTATTAGAGGCGGAGCGGATCTCGTTACTGCATACGTAAATCTGCGCATCGCTAAATCGCACGATGTTATAAAAGGAGAAATAGGAATTACACGTGCAACAATTTGTCTCGTATTAAGTGATGATTTACAAAAATGCCCACGGTGTGTCGATTTAATTATGCAGCTTGTTATCTGCTCTTCCCTGTTATTTTTGCTTAGACGCACGCTCTATTGAGAGCTAACAGGCACACACGCTCCTTTTTGTTCGATCGAGGAGACGATAGAAATTTTATTAGCACTACGTGAATGTCTATCGATGTTGAATGTAAAATAACCGTTAGCATATAAATATTACGAGGTGGTAAGATAGAAGGCGCGCCGAGCCAACGAAGAGTGATTGAAATATTTGTAAATATTTCGTGGAAAAAGAGCGATGCACAAAAAAATTGAGAAAGAGAGAGAGAGAGAGAGAGAGAGAGAGAGAGAGAGATATTATTTAGAGAGAAACGCGAACGCGAAAGAAAATTCTCGTTTTTACGGTCCACTAATCGCGATGTAATTATTAGCTGTGCCTACGCGACGGCGATGTGAATTAATTAGTTGATAATTGATTCGCGAACGAAGACATTCTCATGCCCCGAGCCCTCTACTTCCCTCCCCCTTCCATCCCTTCTCGATATTTCCTCGTGTCTTGAAACAAAGATCGTACGCGACGTCATTCCAACGTACAATTCGTAAAAAGAGTGACGCGCACGTGAATAATTGTGTACAGTAGCGAATTGGTGTTTGTATAGAAAAAGATGGCTTCGTTTCTGTTGCGACTGAGTTCTTCCCCTCCCCTTTTTTTGCAGGGGACAATGTACTACGACGGAAACGCACGAAATAAAGTATAACATTGTATTTGTCTCGATGGAATTTATTCATTACGTCCTGATCGCTTAATTGATAAAAATTGATATACGTAACGATAACTTTTTTTTTATTTTATAATGTTATAATTTTTATTTTATAATGTTATAATTATAAATTTTATATTAGTGGAAGTACAATTATATTATATGTATCTAAATAATAAGGTGTAAAATATACAGAAAGTCATTTTAATTTTCTGTAACTGAAAAGAAAAGAGTATTTCATATAGTTTACTAATTTTAGTAATCTCATCTTAAACCCTATAGTTTATTAACTCGAGTCTCTAAGAAATTAAATCGTGATTCCACGAGAAAAGAAGAAGATTGTTAAAGTTATGTTCAACATATTTCAATGTCAAAGTATAAGTATAAAAATGTATAAAAAAAGGAGATGACTTATTTAAGAAATTGATTTAGACATAATTAATTTATTAATAATACAACTAATAATAATAAGATATAATTCTATAATTTTTTTTATAAAAATATACAAAAATTTTTTATTTTCTGCGTTCACAAACAACAAATACTATGTCGATTCTTACATCTTTTCTGGGATAATCTGTATCCGTTGGATACCATCCGATCCCACCCAGCATCATCACCTCCGGCGAATCAAACGCGCGAGTGAGACAAGAACCCGGACCCTCGGCGACCGATAGTCCTGCTGACCCACTTCCGTCTTGTTTCTCGTCTTGCCACGAGACCCACCACCTACTCCTTATTTATCTCCCACCTTACAGACAGCATTCTACACTCCGCTCTTCCGGCGAATGCACCGCGAGTGACAAATTTTTTAAACAAACGGCATCGACTAACGTGTTAAGTGTAAGACAAGTCTAATTATGGGATAAAAACTGGAGAACGCGCGAAACGTCGAGAAGAAACAAGAGAAAGTCTTGGTAATCCAAACCACCGGCCGGTTCTTTATTACACGATTGCGATAATAGCTAATGACGGTAATTGTTAATAATTTTCTCTGTAGCCGCTAATTGCGTCAGTGGATGCTGTCATGAACAAACTTTGAATTGGTCCGCCGGTCTGTTTACTAGGACATAAGATTAGAGCGTGCGGAATAAACACACACATACACACAGAGAAAAAAAAAAAGATTTCTACACTCGCTGCAAAACTTATTGCAGTTTTATCAGGTCGAGCCTCTTTTAGATTTATTTCTGGCCTAGCGGAGTCAATGCTACGCCACTGCGGAAGTGCCGGCACAAATTTAACCGTGTGTTGCGGGTGTATGGTATACGTATACAGTTAATAGTCATTGTCGCGAAAACACGGATACCGCACGAACGTACGCGATTGGCTGACCCACAGTCCGGATTCGCCCTCGGCTGACCCCGTTGTTGACTGACCCACTGACGAGATACTGATAGCGCAACGCTATACAGTCAGTCCGCTTTGGCATTTAATTGCACGACGTCACGAACGACTGAGAGACGCTTCACGAGTGATAACGGTATTTCAATTAACTTTTTTTACCTGCAAAAGTAGATAACAACTGATATAATCGCGTAGGGATATTCAGGAATGTTCGGGATATTAACAAATGGAAAATTTATAAATAAATTTACAAATTCGTTTTCAAAGAGATTTATTATTTTTGCGAATTTGAATCAGGATTTTTGTTTGTTAAATAAATTAATATATAAATATATAAATGTATATATAAATTGATAAAGATTCATCTTCACGTTTTCTCAAGAAATTTGAGGAGAATAGATTGATCTATTTCCGTCCATCTTTTGGTCGTGAATTTATATTCTTAGGCCGACTTGCCCGGTAATTGAAAATGTCGAGTTATTTATTCCGCAAAACTCTTTTTTTTTTTAACTTCAATCCTTTTGAAGAACAACGCGATGTTGTGCTGAATTCTGATGCATTCTGATGCAAGGCTATGCACGGATTTGCAAAACAGATTTTGTTAATGGCGATTTTGACGCAACGAGTCGGGCAACGGCACGCGGCTGAATATGCAACGAGCAGCGCGAGTATCAATCAAATTATTACGCCAAGTTGTTCCGCGTGACGGCTGTAGGAGCAGTTCGCTGACACAATAGGCCGCGTTGTGCCCCGCTCCGCGAGGCATAAAGTACAGCATAAAGTACAGCATAAAGTCGTAAGGGTAGTAGACACGCAGAGCATAGACACGCTTTGCACGTAGCGTCAGAAGCGGAGAAATAAAAAAAGAAAAAAAAGAAAAGAAAAAAAAAAGAATTATAAACTTATCGCGTTCTCCGCGTCCGTGGCGATATCCCACTTTTCCACCGCGAGCCGCGCACCCTCCGGTGCCGCGTGCGGCCGCAAGGCCCGCGGAGGCCCAGAAACGCATCCGGCGACCGGGTCCCCTCTTCCCGCAGAACCGTCGCTCGTACTCTGCCCCAGCTCGCGTCGGCTTTACACGGATCTCTCGGTGCTGTGCATGTGCAGCCGTGCCGCGTTACGAAAGAATTGCGGGCACCAGCGCGCGCGCTCGCGGTCCAATTTTACCGATCGAGGTTGCGTGCCGCGCAGCTGGGTTTCTGCCGTACGCAACGCCACAATACACATACCTCTCCTCTCCGCGTTCTTTCTCTTTTGCGCCCGCCGACTCCCTCGCCCTCCGCCGTTCTCCCTCTTTAACGCAGCGGAGTTCACGATCGTGAGTCATAGCCGCGCGAAGGAGTCAAGACCGGAGAAACCGGGGATGGGGTTTCGACGTGGAAATTTTTCGTAAACACGCATACGAAGACACGTGGAATTGACACGTGGGAAGCGAAGCAACCCTTGCGGGATCGCTATTAGAAAACTTCTACGTCATTTCTGCGAATTTGAATCAAATGAATCAAGAATTTTTTTTTTCTTATAAATTGAATAGCGATTTAGACTCACATTTTAAGGAATTTAAAGAAAATCGACCGATCTTTGTTCAATTTCTAGTTCAGATCGGCTTTGGAGATTAAATTAAATTAAATAGTGCCAGTAGCTTCCGTAGTTTGAAGTTCCGTGAATTATCCGGAATCCGGTCATCTCGATCTTTGTCGTTTTCATCCCCTCCTAGGCGAGGAGATAGACAACAGCGACGAAGAGGACGACTCCAACGACGGCGAGGACGTCGACGACAAACGACCGGCACGACGCGGAGGAAGAAGAAGAAAAGAGAGACGAGTGTTCGGTGAAGCCTACCGACCGGCTATTTGGAACACGGCCGATCAGTTCCTTCGGCGCCTTCGCACCGTGGACGTGGACACGCGAACGTCCTTTGTCGTCGATTTTGAACGCGCGCCTCCGTTTCAAACGGGGTAAAAGACGGGGTCGAGGAAACCTGCGCGAAAAATCGCGCGACGCGTCATTTTTCTAAATCGGTATCCCGAGCACAAAAGAACCGACGTGATGACCTTGTGACTCTCCTGCAGAAGAAACGGAATTGACCATGGAAAATGTTTCGTGAGATTGTTTGGAACAGTTCATGATAAGGCCTGGACTCGATCGATTTGTCTCGTTAAAAATACTCGCCGACAAGAGTAAGTTTTTAGTAACGGATGCTGAGAGAGATTGGCGAGAATAAGTTTGAATTTTGATTTGTCATCGTTTATATTCGAGATTTTGAAATAGAAATACAAAATAATATATCCGATATAATTTTTAAATTTATAAAATAAACTTCACAGAAATAATTGCAAAAAATATGTTTTTTGTTATCAGATCAGGATTTTCAACAATTTTTGATATATAAAAATCAGTAATAAATAATTTTTTATATTCAGTTTGAAAAGAGTTCTGAAATTCTGAAAAAGAGCAAATTTCTAAATACTGTATTATCTGTAAGAATTATATAGCAATTAATTTTATTGCTTTTATTTTCTCATTGACTTTTTTTGTATTGGGCAATGTTTCTTCAGAGAATTTGCTTTAACGAACTAGGCAAGGAAGTTACGGAGTTTTGCCTTTTTCCGGTAAGGTCACCGGTAGGAAAGCTCGCCATATATTGCCATTAGTATAATTAACCCAGATTTTCCCGGATTTATGGTGAACGGCACGCGGGTCAGAGCCGCACACTGCACATTATAACAGACGGCCGACATGCCTTCGACTGCGAAGGAACAGCAAAAAATTGCATGGTTCAATTGCAAAATTTTGCCCAACTATAATTAATTAACCTGTCATGTATAATTAATAGTATCATAAACAAAACGACTTTATTAAATTAATTATTTCAAAGTTGTTAGAAAGATTAATGATAATATAAAACACTCGAACGAAGAAATAGTCATTACGCTGCTATCACAAGCTATCACAAGCAGTAATTGTAATCATTATATATTTAGTCGCAACGTCGTTAAATTATTGCAGTCAAAATCGAAGAAGACGAAAAGACTAATTTGAAATTTTAATAAAAGTAAGTAACACCGGTACACCGTGCTTAAAAAGTTAATGCAAATCGTGATACAATTGAGACGACGTGGAAATATACGTCTTCATCCGGAAGAAGAATGGCGAGCATCTATGTACATGACGCGGCGCTTAATATATTAACCGACACTGATGGTTATGTCCGGCGATGTTGCGACATGATACGACGCTTATAGCCGTCAAATACGCTTCAGGCTTTTCTTTGGCGTTGCTATTCAGTCCCTGACCCCCGCATTTCTCAACACATATACACTACGTGTTTCAACACAAACGGACACACTCCGTATAGCGCCTAATAATAAATTTTCAAATAGCCAAAATTAATGATCAATTTGATTTACAATATATTATTAATTTTATATTTGAGAGTTTTATATTGTAAAGAGCTGTGAATAATTATGTACATATTAGAGATATATTTCGCCTGGAGCATTAAAATATAATTAAAATATAATTTAAAATTCAATTAAAGTATTAAAGTATAATTGAGATGTAATTTAATGTTGCGTTAAATTAAGCAATTCATAATTGTTTAATAATGCAATAAATTAATAAAAATTATTTAATAATTAATTAAATTAGTAAAAAAATCTATACAGAAAATCTATATGTAGCGTTATATTAATTAATCCAGATTGTAATTAATTTCTAAAAAAAACTCCATATTGTTTTTTTTCTAGCTCTTGTTAATATCGTTTCTCATTATGTTTGCGATTATCGCGAGATTACTGTTCGTTTAGGAAAGTTTCTCGACAATAGCGCGAGACGATATCAGCAGCGGCACAATGTCGGAGGGTTGCACGAGTTGCAGAGGCGCGAATTATGCGAGTGGCACTTTGCAGTTAGGCACGAGCTCCGGTGGCAACACCGGAAGCTCGTCGTCCACGTCTGGGACGACCTGTACAGCCACGAGGAGAGTCCAAGTCCGTGCAAAAGTATTATATGGCACGGGCAAAGCAATAGCGAGCTTGCAAGCGCAGGAGAAAGCGGCCAGACATTGACGAGGTAATTAATAACCGTAATCAACTTTGCATTAATCCGGTAAAAAAAATGTGACACCTCGCGTGCATATTTTTGCTCTCGGCAAGACAATTGCCTGTTAATTTTTCACTCTTTCATTTGCTAAAAAATATTTCGATGATTTTTATATATATTTTAATTTGATCATAACGCAGATATGTGATAAATATGAAAACAAAAAAAAATACGTAGCATTTATTTATATCGCTTTCCTGACTAAATTGAAGTCTGTCAGACTCTAACGGATCGACAAGGAGGAAAAAACTTCGTCAACAAGGAGTAAAAGAGCCCGGATTCAGCTTTCGCGCCACGGAAAATTAGAATGTAATCTCATTTTTATTTCGACTTGTCCCCCTCGCGTCTAATGAGTATTCTGGATCCGTATTCAAGAAACCGTAAATGCGCCGTCGCGCAATTATAGAAAGCGTGATCTCCAGTCTTCCTGTTGTGCGACGTGCGAGCGGACCGGAGGCGATCGACCTTCCCGTAACAAGATGATCAACGGTGGGCAGTCGAAATAACGAGATGAAGCGCCGAGGTGCCGCGAATAACAGTAAAGATACGTAAAAAACAACGACGCCGACATCGGCGAACAAAAAGCAAAGCCCGGAGGCACCGTCCTTCCTCGTGGATAAGACCAGTCGGCCGATCTGATCGCCGGTTAGTACCCTGGTTAACCGTCC